AAGCTCAAATGCACACACACACACACACACACACACACACACACCAAACAGAACCAATCAATCGCTCAGTCATCAAATGAAACTATTTCAGATGAATTAATCATTCTCAAGAAAAAGAATAAAAATAAAACAAAATCACTGTGGAATATTTAACAAAATTTCCACAAAACAGTTAAAAAAGAAGACTATTTTAAATCGAACTCACAATTTATCACCGATTTCTTCGCATTTCTTGATGATCGCAACAAGCAACAGCAGTTTATTGCTCAAATTGAAGTCGTTCTCATCCTCGGCTGATACCAAACCCGTTTTCGCGTACCATCCACGGAACTCGGGCGGTGTTGGTGGTGAGTCATCCATCGAATCTTCTTCGCCAGCCAAACGTTTCGATTTTCGAGTTGCTTTCGCATCTGAATTCTTCAGCTTCGATGTACTCGCAACGGCATCATCATCACCATTCTCTTCGTTCAAATCATCTCTGAAAGTTCAAATCATCAAAATTCAAAAACTGACATCATAAAACTTTTCATGATCTGTTATTCTCGATACACAAGTCAAAAAAGTCCCTATCAAAAGATTGCTAATATGGCCGATATTTGGGTGAAAAGGGCAAGAAGCAAACACTGAAACGAAGAGTCGACGAGAGAGTGTTAATCTATCAGCTCAAATTAATCCNAATCACAAATTTATCATTTCGAACCATTATTTCTTGCTTTTTTTTCCGTTTGTAAGAAATATTCTCAGATGAAATTCAGCACAAAAATAAACATCTCATGCAACGTATATATATATGACTGAATCTAACTTAAACAACTATCAATTAACTAAAAATTACCATGGACGATACCATATTATTGAGTATATAGCACAACATACAACAAACATAACATATAAGCAACTGCTGAATACAAAATGGATGAAAATAAATTCCCGAAAATGGCAAAATAAATAAACATTAAACAACAAACAAATAACAAATGAACAATAAGAACAAGAAAACAAACAAAACGCAAACAATAAACTACTAACAAAGCAACTACGTCATCGTCAGACGTCTCAATCACCGACGGTGTCTCCTCACCATCATCAATAAATTCCTCCAGATCCTCTTTATCGTCTTCAAGCAATCGCTGAATTTCGAATATTTAGTGAACCTAATAGATGAAAATAACCCGAATAAAAGAATAACAATAACAGAAATAAGGCATAAAAATGAAAATAACGAAGAATATACAAAAACCTTTCTCTCAACTACAATCTCATGAGCGAGCAATTGATGGGGATGTGTCCATATCCGCGACAAGATGTGATAATCGGGTAAAAGTCTCTTGCTCAGACCCGTACTATCCTGACCAACACGCTCCAAGAAGCAGCGATACAACTTCACTTGCTTCGGTGTTAAACGCACATTTATCACGTACTCTTGTTTCGGTGGAATCGAGTCCATCAGAACGCGATAGTCAACACGCTAAATATTATATTCTCACTATGAATATCTTCATTCCACTATTTATAGTTATCGTTATCATCACTATACACCTGAGCAATATATCAACATAAACTCTAATGCTGTATCTCACCTATCTCATCTCAGAATCTGCATTACCTATTCACCTCAACCTATTCCAATGCTCTCCGTCCATTAACGTGTAATGGATACTGAATTTTCATCTAATCATTTACGTATTTATTTAATCAGCNAATCCCTCTCCCCAGAAGAAGTCATTGGGCAATATGGGAGAGTAGCTCAAAATCTCTTTGCTTGCCAAATCAACAATCCATGTTAGAAGTTCATGAAGATAGATGATTCCCAACGCTATTATGATCGTTAGCTGCGCGTAAAGAATAATGCCGGGGAAGGAAAGAAGAATGTGATATTTGCGATTGTGGTGATAACACAGAGGATAGTGAATGATCAAACACAACAAACGAACTGACCTGCACAACTCCCTTCAGATGCTCACAAAGCACATGGCAACGTCTCTTCATGAAACGCACCTCAGCTGCCGTCGCATCCTTCAATCGTCCACGATTTATGATATTCGCGAATCGATTCGAGAACTCATGCTTCGTACCCAATAAACCTTGCTTTACAAAGCTCACCATGCAGTGATCTAAAACAATGAATGCCTCCTTCCTGTCTTATGCATAACATCCATCCGTTTATTATGCGTTATTCATATGCTCTGAACTTCTGATTAATATCCATCCGATCAGCCAAATTAATCCACCAAATAATGGAAACGTAAATGAAAGAAATCAATTTTCGAATGTGAACAACGATATCGAATCAAACCGACTGACATTCCATTAAATTGTTCTGCAACGGTGTTCCAGTCAAACAAATTCGTCGTTTCGTTTGAATTTTTTTCATCGTTTTTGTCAGCGCCGATTCGTCATTCTTCAGTTTATGTGCCTCATCGCACACGATCAAATCGGGTCCTTCAAATTGCATTTATTACATATTTTCGATGTGTCCATTCAACAAATCATACCAAAACCGACATCATTGCTGGTCACATTGACTTCTCTCCTCCTATTCAACTTCCCAATTTATCACAATATCTAATGTAGACGTTATACATCGAAACGTTGTAAATCACGTGTGACAGAAATGAATCCGTGTAATTGTAAATGAATAATTTCCCTTAATTCCTTTTTTGCACCAAAACGAAACGGTTTCAACTATTCTGAATAAATATCTTCACCTCCATCAGCATTACTGTTATCTTGCGATATTTATTAGAAAGACTATAGTTCAGTTTATTTTAACGATCAATTTCATGTATTTTACCAACTTTAGTGATTGAATATCGAATAAATCATTAAGCTTTTACCCTCATTTATCTTTCAAACAATCTTTCAAATGAAATCATTCTTAAGTGCAAACGATAATGCAGATTAACAGTGCTAATCATTCAACTGTTACCACTACTCATAATAATGTACAAATCAAACCGTTTATGAAAAACACAAAAATAACCTGGATCTTGCAGAAATTTGCGAAAATCTGGTTGCAGTCTCATCAGTCTACGTGCTTGCTTCGATGGCTTGCGTTTCGTGTCATTCTTTTTACTCTAAAATGTGAACAGATCACTTTTAATTCTTCAAACATTCTTATATTTGAACATTACTCACAATGACCTCAACAACAATAATAATAATAATATTATTATTATAATAATAACAAAACAAACTGACCTTACTGCTGTTGTCATCCTCATCTCTGGTCAATATTCGGAACATATCATAACCAATTATCATCACACTCGGTTCATCACTTTCAAACCACGTCTTTAACGCCAAATGACGATCGCTGTATTCCTTTAGTGTATCCAATTCCATCACCTTAAAATCATCAAAACATCGATAATAACAACAATAATGACAATAACAATAACCATTTAAAATACAGCAACAATAACAGTAATAATACTGACAATAATAGTAAGAACAATGTTAATTCTCACAGTTATGAAAAACACCACAGAAATTAAAAATTCCCCCTAAACTATGGATATCTATAACCAGTAAGTAAATCCAGATTCGAAAGAAAATAAAATCGAATAACGAACATTAATGGTGTCCAAGTCTCGATCCACATTGTCATTATCGAGCCACTTTTCGAATTCTTTGAACCAGTTCAACACAACATTCTTCGGCACCACAACCAACACCCGTTTCACTTTCTGACTGATTTTCGGATGCATCATTATGGTGTGTAAGAATGCGATCACCTGCAATATCATCATCATTTATTTATTTANCTCTTATCTTCAACAATAACAACAACAACAACAACAACAACCATAAAAACAACCCTCAAAACAACAAGTCAATAAAAACAACACCAAATCATCACCTGTAATGTCTTTCCCAATCCCATACAATGTGCCAGTATCGCACCACCACCCTCGTCTTTGTTCAGTCGTTGCAACGATTCAATTGTGCAATTGTACAGGAACTGAATGCCCTCGGCTTGATGTTTCTTCAAGCACTTCACCAACGACTGATGCACACTCACTGGACACGGCTCGTCACTGTGCTCATCTCTGTCCAGCACTACATTCTTCAGACGTATTGGCTGTGTTGAGGATTCCGTCAACGCACTCGCCAAATCATTTGCACTACTTCCTTGTACCAATTCGATACCATTGAACTGAAACTTTATTCTTCTTTAGTCTCAAACAAACGTACGAATCAACCACAATTCTCTTTCAAACGAATAAAAATTCGACTTCAGACCTCTTTTTGTTTCGCCTCAATTCGCTTTCGTCGTTCCCGTTCGGCTTTTTCTGCGTCCACTGTCTCTTTTGTTAGTTTATTCTTGCCCATTATCGCCTTCGCACCTCGTCGTTTCTTAGCGCTTTCATCACCTTTATCGTTCTTATTATCATCATCACTGGCACTCTCAACCTCAACGATATCACTGTCTATATCACTTGCATCCTGGCCGGTACCGTCGGAACTGTCGTCCTCTTCGATACGAGCACGTTTCTTTTTTCTTTTTTGCCTCATCGTTGATCGAGTCGCGTATTCTTTTTTCCTTAACACAAAACAATATTTACATTGAAACACGCACACACACAAAAAAGCACATCCATTGTCAAAGCCCAAAAATTTGGCTGCTGAACGTTTCGATTAGAATGCAAAACGTGTTCAAGTGTGAAGTATTCAAAGCGAGACAATATCGCAGCACATAAACACACATAAAAATCATATCTGCACAAAAACTAAATCTCTGGCCATGAATGTTTTTTCAAAAANGACAAAATTATTTTACGTCTCAAAAATTTAATAATTATAGTCCGCAATGATTTCTCATTATCCAATTCAAATTACACATTTGTACAATGATTTTGCACAGACGCAAAAAAAAACAGATGCATTTAGCCACATAACAGACAAATGCTAAAAATTACATAATGCATCACCGTTGATGTGAATGAATAAAAGCGCAATCACCAACAAACAACAAAACAAAACAAACGAAAACACAAAACAAATTCTCTCAAACTCACTTATTTTTCTTCGACTTATTCCCAGTCGCTTTTTCTGATCGTTCATTTGCGTCCTTTTCCATTTCCCGTTCACCTTCTTCTTCCGAATCACTCAAATCCAGTCTTTTCGCCAACAGTTTGTCAATTTTTGAGCGTTTCTTAAGGACGATGACCAATCACAATAACAATTATAACCATATTAATAACTACAATTTTTTGCGTTCATTACAGACAATCAGAATTGATGACCTTCAGCACCGTTCACAGCACACATACTTGTCCACTTGTCAAGTATTCGTTGGCTGTTGTTATCAAGTTTGTGTTCTTCAGAGACACACTTTTCTGGTCGTATTCGAAAGTCAGTTTTTACACTAAATGACAACGATCACTGCTCTGTAATCGTCACCTATAAGGCGCCGATTGCACTCACCTTCCCGATTCATTAAGTTGCAGTCGCGAATGCGATCACGCAACAAACTTCCTTCCATCTTTATAGTCATTGATGAATTTATGGTCGTGACTTGCGAGCAATTCAAAACAATCAGAAACATTCTATCTGGGAAGTGGTATGATCGATGGGTACAGTGATGAGTGAAACATTCGTAATCGATGACGGCAGCGTCAAACAAGCAAACAACGATAAAACTTACAATAACAACCGGACTCTCCTCATCCACTTCATCATGCTCTTCACTGTCATTGTCATTGCCATCGATACTTTCTTCCTTAACCTCTTCACAATCTTTGCGCAATTTTGCTCTAAAATTGAAACGAATCTCTCCAAAATACTTCTAACACTCGAAAAAACCCTTGCAAAAATTCTCAAATTGATACTTAAAATAATTATGCAACAATCAGTATCTGACATGAAAGTGGAACAATTGAAAGTGAAATGAAAGTGGAACAATTCCACGATTTCATTCGGAATCTGAAACTCTTTCAAACGCAAGCCAGCGATAGGATATGCTGATTATGAGCATGTCCTTATTTTTGTTTCTCAATATCACTGCTATTGTTACAACTGATATATTATCTTTATCACTGATATTACTATTCTCATCAGTATTATACCTATTCATATGATTGGTGATTGATTTATACTGTGATAAAGGATTCATACGACTGGCAGTTATATGCGGCTATGATTTAAGATTAAAATATTACTTCTTCGATTCCTTTTTCAGCTGTTCAGTGCTAATACTACCACCGCCACCACCACCTCGCTTGGATCTTCTAAGTTTTTCTGGTTCGTCTTTCGTTTCGTCGTTACTTTTCTCTGATGATTCCGCAGTATTATTTTCTTCATTCTGAAACAATTCTGAATTGGATTCAAATATACAAACGGCTTATCGCACATGTTACAAACACTTTCGAATCATTCAGTTCTCAAATTATTCAATAGCATTCGATGCATCCAGTTCACTTCATTAACTTGTACTCCTTATTGGTCACGAAAACATTACGGAACAAATGATTTAGTATTCTCCTTTCCGTACTGACTTTTTGCTTGCTCTCTAATAATAACATACCGCTTCACACTGTTCTCCACCATCACTATCTTCTTCATCATATTCATACATATATTCGGGTCCATAATCGTTTTTGGTCTTCGACTTCGACTTATTTGTTGACGATTTTTCAGTTTTACTCGTTTTACTGGTTGCATTGCTCGACGCCTGCTCACCACCGCCATCATTATCGTCTTTATTCAACTCTTTTCTACAGCTTCTGATCAGACTGTTCAGTTCAGAATCAGAATCCATCACACTTTCGGCTGCTGCATCCACATCCGATTTCACTCCTCCTCCGTCGTCCTCGGATGCATCCTCTTGCAACTCACTCACAGCACCTTTGCTATTCTGAAAACGTTTCACAATTCTTTCTCGACAACAATTAACGAAAGGCTTAATTGCGTGAACGTTACAGAATGAAAAAAAAATTATTGTTCTGATATACGACTGTAATGAAGCTGAACGTTGTTATGTGTGATCAGTCCCACCGTTTCTTAATGCAACTTCATGTTTGCATTTCATTTTCTACGCTTCAAATAATCTCACTCAAATTTCAGAATTCAATTTGCTCCAGTACTGTCACTTAAAGATTATCACTTCACAAAGTCCATTGTTACTTAAAAGCCAGCAGTCGAACAAAAAGAGAATACATTAAATTAACCAA